GCCCCCGCGCCCCCCGCCCCGGCCCTGCTGCCCCGCGCCTCGCTCGTGGCGCCGCCGCCCGCCCGGAGCTCCGTCCCCAGCTTCCCGCGTCTCTATCTCTCTTTGCGCGTCTCTGTTTCGGGGTCTCTCCATCTCCCTGTCTCTGCTCCGCCCCCGTCTCTGTGTCTCTGGCCGTCTCTCGGTGTCCTGGTCTCTCAGTGACTCTCGCTCCCTGCTCGCGCCCCCTCTGGCTCCGTGCCCCCCGGGGCTCCGGGCATCTCCCCCCACCCCGTCCCCCGCCCCGGTGCCCACTCTCCAGGACGCCGCGGGGGCCATGGCTGCGGGATCCGAACTTTAAACACTTCTCCCCGGACCGGTGCGGATGCGCAAGACCCGGAAAGTGAGTGAGCGCCGCGGCCGGCGCAGGGGCGGGGATGGGGGGCGGGGATTCCTTCCCGGGGCGGGGGCCGGGCCGCGGGAGGTGCTTCCCAGAGACCTGCAGAGCCGGGTTCCCCGAGCCGGAGGCGGCGAGGCGGGGGGGGCTGCGTCTGACTCCCGGGACGAGGGAGGGAGAGAGGGCTGGAGGTGCGCCCTCGGGGCAGGGGTCCAGGACCTGGGCGCTGGAGAGTGTGTTGAGAGCGCGGGAGATGCGGCGGTGAGAGCGCGGGCTGGCGGGCCGACCTGAGGGTGGGTCTGGACTTTTGGGGCGAGAGTCTTGGGTTTAGAGAGCAGGGCTGAGGGCTTGAAATTTGGGACCTGGGGGATCAGAGCCAAGAGACTGGATATTTGGGATTGAGGGCTGACTGTTTGGGGCTGGGGGTCAGGACTAGGGGTGTGGATATTTGGGGCTGGGCTCAGCATGGGGGGTTGGATTCGCGGGGGGCTGGGAGGTCTGGATTTGGAGCTGGAGTTCAGAGCTGAGGATCTGCAAATTTGGCTCTGTATATTTGGGGTCGGGATATTTGGTGTGAGGGGTCCCAGGGGCTGTGGGAAGGCTATTTGGGCCAATTCTGGGGTCTGCACACTTCTGGGCTGGGAGTGCAGGCCTGGCCGTGACCTTTGGGGGGGCGTGTCCTTCTGGGGACAGGTGGCCTAGTGCCACACACCTTTTCCGTCCCAGTCATTTCACAACTGTCCCAGGACCATGCTGGGCCACCTCTGACATCTCTTTCCTGGCTGGGTCTCTCCTCACTGACTCTCTGTCCCTGTCTCTTCCAGGATCTCTGTGTCCACCTCCAGCTCTCCCAGAATCTATCCCTCTGTCTCTGTGACTCTGTCTCTCACAGCATCTGTCTCTACCTCTTTGGGTCCAACTCCTTAGACTGTCTCTCAGAATATCTGTGCCTATCTCTGCCTTCCCCTATCTTTCTCAGCATCTCTCTGTCTCTCTGTCTCTATCTCTCTTTCTCTGTCTCTCCCAGTGTCTCTATCTCTGTCTCCCCCTCACTGGTTTCCGCTCAGATTAAGCCGGGGACCTAATTCCAGGCCCAGGATCGAATTTTCTGGCAACAAAGGGAAATAGCGAATCGATCGGTCGCTCCGGAGATTAAGAGACAAGCAGCGCGCGGATCTATCACGGCTAAACGGCCCCCCCTCCCGCTCCCCCCCCGCCCGGCCAGCCGCCGAGGCCCAGACGCGCTCCGCATCGCCAAGCAGCCTCAGGAGCCTCAGCTGCCCGGCAGGCCAAGCCCAGAGCTAACTGCGTGCCCTGCCGCGGGCCAAGGCCCTGGGTGGGGGGCGGGGGAGAGCACAGCTGGCCCCTGGGGAGGGGTGGAGGGGGTAATGAGTGAAACGGAGGCAGCACACCACCCCAAAGAGTCGTGCTGCACACACCTGTGGCCTCAGGTAACACCTTTCACCCACACCTGTCTATCAACGCACCTGTCACATCGATGTTCCCCCTTTGGACCTCTAGGTAACATTCGTCTCCTTGTACCTGTGCCCTGTAGGCAACCCCTCTCCTCCACACCTGTTCCCTTCATCTGCCCCTATAGGTGTCACCTGTTTCCTTTCACCTGCCCCACCCCC